CAAAAACGTGCGGTCCCTGGCGTATGTCTTAGAGATTTCTATGCAGTACGCAATGTGTTAAGATTATCTTTGTTATTTATTTTTCCATTGATTTTTAAACAGAGTGGAAGGAGGGGGAGAGACAGAGAGAGAGAAACATCAATGTGAGAGAGACATATTGACTGGTTGCCTGCCACCATGTGACTGAGCCTATAACCTAGGTATGTGTCCTTGACCAGAATCGAACCCGGGATCCTTCAGTCCGCAGACCATCGCTCTATCCACTGAACCAAACCTGCTAGGGTAATTCTCTTTGTTTTTAAACTTTGGCATTTTAATTATGATGTGGGCCCTAACTGGTTGGCTCAGTAGATAGAGCATTGGCCTGCGGACTGAAGGGTCCTAGATTCAATTCCAGTCAAGGGCTTGTACTTTAGTAGATAGAGCATTGTCCTGCAGACTGAAGGGTCCCAGGTTCGATTCTGGTCAAGGGCAGGTACCTTGGTTGCGGGCACATCCCCAGCAGAGGTGTGCAGAAGGCAGTTGATCCATGGATGTTTCTCTCATCAAGGTTTCTAACTCTCTATCCCTTTCCCTTCTTCTCTGTAAAAAAATCAATAAAATATATATTTTTAAAAAATTATGATGTGGGCCTCTTTGGGTTCATTGTTTGGGACTTTGAGTCCAGACTGGTATATCAATTTCCTTCACCAGGTTAGGGAAATTTTCCGTCACTATTTTTTCACATGAGTTTTCAATTCCTTGTTCTCTCTCGTCTCCTTTTTGCACCCTCATAATGTGAATGTTGGCATGCTTAAAGTTGTCCCAGAGGCTCCTTATAATAGCCTCAACTTTTTAAATTCTTTTGTTGCTGTTGTTTGGATTAGTGTTTTCTAATTCCTTATCCTCTAAATCCATTGATTTGTTCCTCTGCTTCTACTCTACTATTGATTCCCTATACTGTATTCTTCATTTCAGTTTGTGTATTCTTCATTTCTGACTTGCTCTTTTTTATGTTTTCTATCTCCATTTTTATGTTTCCCATCTCTTTGTTGAAGTTCTCACTAAATTCATCTACTCTTTCTCTAAGTTCACTGAGCATCCTTATAAGCAATGAACTCTGCATCTGGTAAATTGCTTGTCTTCATTTTGTTAGTTATTTTTCTGGATTTTTCTTCTTTCATTTGGGACCTGTTTCTTTGTCTCCGGATTTTGACTGCCTCCCTGTGTTTGTTTCATGTATTAGGTAGAGCTGCTACTTCTCCTGGTCTTGGTAGAGTGGCCTCATGTAGATGTCCTTTAGGGCCCAGTGGCACTCAAGCTAGGCATTCCAGGTGTGCCCCCTGCCCCATTTGGGCCATGTACACCCACCTGTTATAACTGAGCCTTGATTGCTGTTGACACATCAATGGGAGGGTTTACCCCCCAGGCCAAATGGCTGTGAGGACTGGCCACCACCAACATGGAGGATTTATTGTGCAGCAGCTGACTCCATGGAACAGGACTTGATTCAATGGGGCATTAGTGCCTGCTGAGTCTGCACCTTGAGTGTGTCACTCATGGAAGTGATTAGGTAATGCTTTAATGGGATCTGAAGCTGTCCACCAGGTGCACTGGCTCTGGGGCCTCCTGGGAGATGCAGGCCAAGTTCAGCCACTGCTTGTGCCCTGCCCAGGCCGACCTGGCATGAGCTACAGGGATCTGCAAATCACTGCTACTTGTGTTGGGCTTAAACATTGCTGGAGAGAGGCCAAGCTGTGAACCAGGCCAGGCCTGGGGCCACTTAGCAAGAGGTATGTGGGCACACTGAGGCCAGATTCGGCTTAAGAGATTTTAGAAAAGTCTGAAGCATGAGCCAAGATAGGCCATTTGTATGGGAAAGCCACTAGAAACAGCTTAGGTGAACCTTAAAGTTGGGTGAGACAGCATCTTATGACCAGAGCAGGCCAAAGAGTGATGAAGACTCAGATATGGCACTCTCCTGCTGGCTCTGTTGGGGCAGGGCTCAGAAAAGGAAGAACGAAAGTAGACCGCCAACTTACACCATACACAAAAATAAACTCAAAATGGATAAAGGACTTAAACGTAAGACAGAAAACTATAAAAATCTTAGAGGAATCCACAGGGAGCAAAATCTCAGACATATGCCAAAGCAATATCTTCACTGATATAACTCCTAGGGCAGTGATGGCGAACCTATGACACGTGTGTCAGAGGTGACACGCGAACTCATTTTTTTG